AATTTACGTATACAATAATAAGATGCAATTACAATGCAATATTTTCATAGGCAAAAGAATGGGGGGAGAGTGTGTCCATTTTGTTATAGCCCCAGTATTTGAGAGATTCACATTCCACCTTTCCATTTGTCATTTCCACCCCGACAGGATAACATTCCAGAATTACAGGAGATATTTGTAATCAATATTAGCAGTGTACAGTTGCTGGACTCATCCCTTACTGGCGGAGGGCCAAGTGTGAAAAGACTTGGCTTAGAAATAGCTGAGATAACAATTGAAGAGAATGATGATCCTAGAGGAATATTTTATTTCAGTGCTGCCAAGGTGAGAACAAACTGAAAAATGTCAATGCCCCCATGCTGTCATTATTCTTGGTCTCAGTAATCTGAAACTGACTTTGTTTGTAGATGGTTGGGCTGATTGGGGCATTTTATATCTTAACTTAAGAAGCTGAGATATCACTTGCCCTGGGGATGCCAGTGTGGTGTCCCACAGATGTTTCTTTCACCATCTCTGATCATTGGTCATGTTGTCTGGGGCTGATGGGAGCTGGAGTCCAACAAAATCTGGAGGTCACCACACTGGTCACCCTTGCACTAGCCTTTCAACCACACATGCGACCTCTTTGTTCTACCTTTTGCCCAAGTCATGAGTACATTTGAGTTCACAGTCTGTGTCCCCAAATAGCTGAACTGTGCATTCATACAATTATCCACATGCAACATTCAGCAAGTGTATAGTCTGTGCACCTATGCACTCAGCAGCTGACATGTAAAAATCAACAAGTGTATGCTTTTTCATACAAACACTTGTACATGTGCAGAGGCAGCTTGTACAGTGTAACATGGGAACAGGCCTACAATTAAACAAGAAAGTCTATAAATAACCATTGTTTCCTGTTTCATCTGAACCAGGAAAGCTACGGCTACTAGGCTTGGAACATGTCAGATTTTAAAACCAACTTCAAACCATGGTTTGATATCCTGGCTTTTCTATGTCAGAAATGCAATCATTATAGTGCTCTGAATAACTGTCCCAAGCTGAATTTAAAATACTGCTTTCTTTCCAGGATATGAGTGGAATGGTAGCTGGCTTTGAGGTTCCTCCACCAGATAATGTTCTGAAGCTACCAGTTGCTCGAGGGGCAGGAAAATTTGGATCAGTAAATCTGTATTGGGAAGCCACACCTGCCACTGCTAGCCTGGAAGACTTCACGCCATCATCCGGGAACCTAACTTTTGCTGATGGAGAAGTATGGAGTATGCTGATGCAAAAATTCACAACATTTTAGATCATCTTGTACTCCTTAGTTTCTATGTTTTCATGACTATGTTCTTCACATGATGAATGCAGTTAATCACGTGACAGTCCCATCGCATGCCCATCACGTTTCCTCTCTTTAAAAAACAAAACAGAACACAGGCACAGCATCATCCTTCACATATTCACAGCTTTTCATTCTTCATGTAGAATTTGTATGGAAGATTTGAAAGGGATTTAAAAGGCCCACTGTATAATTCCCTATGTCTATGGCTAGCAAGGTAAAAATGTACCCCAAAAGCAAACACAGTTTTATACAAGTTTCAAAGGTCAGCGCAGAATGTTTACTCTTCCTTTAGGATTTTTTAAAGCACCTGGTACATACACTTGTTGGTTTCAACAAGGACTGTACGCTCTCTGTGTTTGGATTTATGGCAGGGTGCCATTCACTGATTGTATTGTCTAAGTCGCAGCATGCTCATCATATAATGATATATGTCACCTATTTCATAGAGTTTTGTTTTGTTTTTCCAGGTGACAGGAGTGATAGAAATCACCATCATAGATGATGACCTTGTTGAGTTTTTAGAGATGTTCACTGTCACTTTAGTCAGAGTGACAGGTGGTGCCCGATTAGGGGAGGATGTGCAAGTGACTGTCACTATTCCACCAAATGACTCTCCTGTTGGCGTATTTGGGTTTGAAGAAAAGCATGTAAGTGGTACAATTGGGAATGTTTGTGTGGTGCTGGTTGTGTAGCTATTGAATCACCAATTACTTGAAAATGTTAGGGAAAGATTGAATTAAGCAGCCATCCAAACAAAACTGCTTACATTTTATAAAATTTTTATAATGTATACATATTATAAGTGCTGTTGTTGTATAACAAAACTAAAATGTAAAGCCTTGGATCTTGAAATGGCAGCTCATTCACCACAAGAAAGCATGTGGCTGAGATAGGGAAAAGCTTCTTCTTTTGCATGTTTTTCAAGTAAACTGGAAGTTGTTCTGCCAGTCAACACAGTATGTCAGCTGTGGGGCTGCCTCCATTCCTTGTCTCCATATCTCATGAGTCCAGAGGCTATATAGCCTTCCTTTATTCTTTAATCATTTTAAAATTATTATTTCCATAATTCTATTAGGAATATTTCTTTAGGAACTACAAACCTACCCCTGGGGCTGAGAGCAAAACTAGCTGCTACAGAAACATGGCAGCCTGCCGCTGAGTTTCTCCTCCACCACAATTTAGTACACCTTGTCTCACGCCCCGGTTTCATGTCATCATAATGTGTGACTCCTTTGCCCCTGCCAATGATGTAGAAAGGGCTTGGGGAGACATAAAGTTTGATCATGTCATGACACAAAGTAAATTGCAGTGCATATTGTTAGAGGAGGACATCATTTCTTAGGTCCTAACTTTTCATTGATAATGAGCTGGTTTGCACAACACGGCAAAACACACTGTGGATTAGGAAGACCATGCGAATGTGTTGGCTTGGTGGGGGAAGATGCTCACAGCTGCTTTGTTCCTCTCTGGTTCTTTTACTGCTGTATCACACTGAGCTAATCAAAGGTTTGGCTTTGTGCGTCATGGTTAAGCTCTCTCCACACTAACCATGAAGAGCTTAGCTCACCGTTGTGCAACAGTAGAAAAAATTGGGGAGGAGCAAAATGGCTGCACACTCCTGTCTGGGAGCCTGCATATTCACACAGTCTCCTTAAACCATAGTTTGGCTTACTGTGCTGCATGAATCAGTGGCTACTTTAGGCCAAAGGTGATGGAAAGTGTCATGAGCAAAGTTGCCAGGTTTATATTTTGGGCATTTAAAGTGGTTTCATTTTTCACAGGCAAACTCTCCACATAAGACAAAGTAGCAAAATTGCTTGCATATGGTATGGTATTTTTTAAAAAATGGATTTTTCTCTGTAAATTGAATTTCAAAATTGCTTCTTTGATTTCCATGTATTCCAGTGTTCCAACACAGAGCCTCATTAATCTTTGGTTTGCTCCCTTACCTAGATAGCTTTATTGTTAGAGATGCACATAGTAGCCAGGTTCAGTACCAGAGAAAGGATGTTATTTGTAAGCAGGTTTTTAAGATAGGCATGTTTCAGATCATCCGCAAGCTTGTGGTTGCTAGGAGACTGTTGCGCAGGAAGGACACTAGGTTATGTCCATATGACACTGTAAGTGGTACATACTGAGCAGGTTTATAATTAAATGTAATAAACAAATTCATTTGTTTCACAAATGTCATCACTGCTTCAGATGTCAAAAAGAGAAAACTGAACATTTCCCACAAAGTTTGTAACATTTCTGTTGATGGGTTTTTCTGAATGATTGTTCTGTTGAATCAAATACTAGTATTTTGTATGTTTCCCACCCACTTGGGGGGAAAAAAGAAGTAGGAAGTATGAGTCACGAATCAGAATGTTGAGTGTAGAGAGCAAATAGATGTTTTAGTTTCAACCTAGAGAGGCTGGTATGTGCACAGAAGTTGGCTGCTGCTTCTATACAGTTCCCTCCTGGCACTGGATCTGTGCATCTGACACTAGGTTCTGTATTGGGGGTTCCAGCACTGGATCAGGTACTCCATGTGTGGTACTTAAAGGATGTTAGTGCTGTCTTTCTTTGGACACCAGGTACTTGGTGTTTTGTTTTGTTGTGTGTGTGTGTGTGTAACTTCCACTTATTTTCCCACATTAGCATCCATATGTGCAAAGTGTGACATATCTGGTCTAACCTTTTCTTGCCTTCGTTGTTTTAGGTAACCGTGAAGGAGCCCCAGTCAATTGATGATCCTGCCGCAAATGTGTTTCTTACTGTAAGTCGGAGTGAAGGAGGCAAGGGGGAAGTTCGGCTCATTTGGATACTAGAGGAGGCAGCTAAATATGATCTCACTCCTCTCAATGGGACTCTTCTCTTTGCTGAGGTAAACCTACTGTTTTCTACCATTTCCCTTTTTTCTTTGATGCTTGTGTATCCTTCTACCAGTATATCTGAGGGTCATGGAACTGAAGAAAACAATCTTCTATATGAGGTCCTGAACATGCCTAAATACCACTGAGTACTATCAGCCGTACTTATAGAGACAAATTGTTGTGTTATTTGGCCCCAATGTGGTGCACTATTTGCACAGTTAACTTGACTCAGAAAGTAAGCAGGAAGATTTATTCAGGATCACCTGTGGTGAGATTGGTCTGGCTTTTACTGCTGCTAGAGAAGGGGTGACAACTTCTCTTCCAGATGAGTCATTGCCACATTTTTTCTGAGGTGTCCATTTTCTACATTCGTAATTAGACACCTTCTGCTTCACCAAAGAGCCACCTGAGAGGCTAAATCTGTCTTGACAGAATGTTGTCATTGTTTAATTAATTAGATATGGTAAATTTTGCTTAGAACTGAAGGTACATTCTCTTCTATTAATATACTAAGTGACAGCTGTAAGTTGAACTATTGTCTGCTCCATTCTAATACAGATGGAATCCCAAAAAACCATAGTTTTGCAAGCAATTCAAGATGGTCTGTTGGAAGGTGATGAAAGTTACACAATTCAACTGGTCTCTACTGATGGCACCGAGATCTCACCAATAAATGGTAAACATAAGGGGGGGAAAGCCATTTCCACTGAATGTCCAAAGACGATAAGTGCTTGAATTACAGGGAGGCCATGGGGGCCAGCTGGCCTGCTTTCATGACTTTCCCCTTAGCTGCTGTTTGTAAAAGGTTACAGATGTCAGGCAATAGTTCTGCATTGTCTGTGGTAGAACATCTGCTTTGCATGCAGAAGGTTTCAGGCTCGAAGCCTGACATCTCCAGGTGGGGCTGAGAGAGACCCCAATCTAAAAGCCTAGAAAGTTGTTGCTAGTCATTTTAGACAATACAGAACTAGATGGACCAATGGTATGTCTCAGTATAAGGCGACTTTCTCTACTCCTTTGAAAATAAGGTTTAATTTGAACTGGTATTCAGAGTAGAAATGTGAAACTGCGTTCTGAACACCTGCAATAAATTTCCTGCTGACCTCTCAGCACTCAGTGGAGTTCTTGCCTTGCAAACAAACTTATTAACTGCTGAGCACTAAAGCTCTTGTTTATCTTAGCCAATTAACATGTAAAATAAATTAAACTGAAAAATAAACTAAGACTAATTTATAGAACAAGTGGTGATAACAAGGATTGCCTTATAATTTAATTGCAGAGCCTAACATTAGTGTTTCGCAGGGGCAAATTTACATCCCCCCCCCCAAGTTTGACTGTGTCATTAAAGGTAAAGGGACCCCTGACCGTTAGGTCCAGTCGCAGACTACTCTGGGGTTGCGGTGCTCATTTCGCTTTACTGGCCAAGGGAGCTGGTGTACAGCTTCCGGGTCATGTGGCCAGCATGACTAAGCTGCTTCTGGTGAACCAGAGCAGCGCACGGAAACACCGTTTACCTTCCCGCCAGAGCAGTACCTATTTATCTACTTGCACTTTGATGTGCTTTTGAACTGCTAGGTTGACAGGAGCAGGGACCGAGCAACGGGAGCTCACCCCATCATGGGGTTTCAAACCGCTGACCTTCTGATTGGCAAGCCCTAGGCTCTGTGGTTTAACCCACAGCACCACCCGCGTCCCATGACTGTGGCAATAGTGAGCACTAAATGAGAACTCACCTGTGGGTTCTGTTCAGCAACGTCCCTCAGCTGACCAAATGCCTCTGTCAGTGGAACTGAGAGGATAGCTATTTTTTGTTACTTCCCTTCTTTCATGCAGCCCCCTAAGCCACCCTAATTCTGCTGCAGAAGGTACCTCAAATATCTGCAGTTTTTTTCCCCAGGGTGTGTGTGTGTGTGGCTGCATGGTGTGTGTGGCTTCCCTCCCTTTTCTACAGACAGAGCAAAAATGCCATTGGATACAACCCAATGTCATGAGGGCCCTGCGAAAAATGTGTCTCTTTTGTAAGTGTAAGCCCTTCTGGTTTTCATCCAAAGAGAAAACAGAGTAAAGATTAATCAGTTATGTCAGTGATTCTTGTTTTTTAATTAGGAAACTTTTTTGTATTCACAGGTGTGGCAACCATCACTGTACTGGGAGATGTGGGAGCTTCTGGGATTGTTGGGATAGCTTCATCATCCACCCATATCCTGATTGGCGAGCCCATAGGAAAGTACAATGGGACTGCTTTTATTGGGTAGGTACATCTCTGAGATCTCTACATTCATTGTAAAACACTGTTGTAATCTATAAATTTGTGTCAACGTGGATTTGCCAAGAAGTAGATCCCACTGCTGTATATATGGAGCTTTCTTTTCTTTTAGGTTTTAAATTTTTGATGAGCAGAATTTTAACAGGACAAAACAGTTAATCTCCTCATTTCACATAGCAAACAAGGGGAGCCAAAAATAAAACAAAAAACCCAAAAAAACCTTTAATCTGTCAGTATAGCCTATCCAAAAGTATCAAAATTCAAGTCTAAAACATTTTGCACACTGCTAGTAGATGTCTTTGTATCCCCTGTTTGGTTGCATAAACAATAAAACAGGGCCAATCTGCCACAAAATAACTTTTACATTTTATTCCTTAGCTAGATGCAGATTATTTGTTAATTTTTCCAACATATCAACTTGCCAAACTGTCGTATGCCAATTAGCTAATGTGTCACCCTTTAGGTCCTTCTAGTGTTGAGCAACAAGAAGAATGAGAAGCTTTATAGCAATTTGCAGCTTTATGGGGTTTTTTAATGCCCTAACCTTGTCAAAATGTCACAACCCTGTCCTCTCATTTGTAGAAATCTCAAGTAATTCTAGTAGTTTCCATTCACATCATTGGATGACAGGATCTGTGGCTCTCAAACTTAGGACATGCATACACAATTATATCCAAATCCAAATAAAAATTTTGATTACTTTATGGAATGTATTTCCAAAAAGAGCTAAACTATTTGCAGTGTCTGTCATACAGTTTGCGTCCCTGTTCCCATACCACAATCCTGAACTGCCGTTTGCCCCCTCCCTAGCCAAGTACAGTGGATGCTCGGGTTGCGAACTTGATCCGTGTGGGATGCACATTCGCAACCCACAGCGTTTGCAACCTCCAAAACCCAAAAGTAACCCGTTCCAGTACTTCCGGGTTTTGACGGTCTGTAACCCAAAAAAACGCAACTTGAAGCGTCTGTAACCCGAGGTATGACTGTATTTGTTAAAGAAAAATGAACTATGTGAAGGTAAACTATGTAATAAATGCACGTTTACTTTGGCCCTGAGATTCCCACCATCTGGTGAAAGCTTTAATTAATTTTAATTAACTACGGGAGGAGTCATCACTTATGCTTTCAATTAGACTGGGATATTTCAGAGTTCTTCCCAGTGCTTCTCTAGTTATAATATTTTGGTGGGTGACCAGCGTGCCGGCATGCCAAGCACACACCACACACGAGATGTCAAGTGTTCTGATCCCTTTCCAGAGTGCTGCTAGACCAAACCCACTACTTATCTCAACATGAGAGGAGTAACAGTTTTGACCGCCACCACTTCCACAGCCTAGCTGCAAAAGCTTATGATAACAGGTGCTTCTTATCTGAGGCACCCTTTCTTTGCTTCCAGTTTTGTGCTTATGATTGTTAGAGAAGCTGGTGTCCAGAAGCACTCTCAGAATACCCAGGAGTTCACATTCCATGCAGCTGCAGGTCAGATTTTGATACGCCATGCCACATTATGAATAAATGTTAAGACTGAAACAAAGTACCTATATATATTGTAAACCTCCCTATGATCTTAAGATGAAGGGTGGTATAGAAATTAAATAAACAATAAACAACAATATATTTTGTGACAATTCACACGAGTTCAGAGATCCAAGAAACGGCTGTTTCAGTACACAGTTTCCCCAATTAAAAAACCCCAATAATTTGCTGCAGCTTTATTTGAAGACAGGGGAAAGATCTGTTTAGGATTGACTGCATTGTTTGTAATTGATTTCAAAACCATGAAATCAAACTTGAAACCTGACCATGCTCCTGTCATTGCCTGCAGCCTAGTACGTGGGCCAGGGATTTTTGGAGAGGTCACCGTCTCCTGGAATATAACACCACCTGATCAGAAGAAATTTGCTGAGGTATCAGGAATGTTGACCATGAAAGACAGGCAGTCTGCTGCCATCGTACTGATACAGGTATGAACTACATATTTTTTCCCCTCCCAGCTGAGCAATCCTATACTCTCATTATGTGGAATGGGAGGGGGAAATATGCTGCTGCTATGTGAGGGTAATGCCCTCTGTGTCCTCTATGGACTAAGCCAAAGAAAGGAGGGGAAAACACAACACTATGACAAATCTCCAAATGGCACAAAAAAGCAGTTATGACTGCATCAGTCATGTAAACCTCCAGTGTCCACCAGCAGGAACTGTGCCAATGATGTCCACATGGCACTTGCAACCACAGAAGGAACTAATGAACTATGGCAATTGGGAAAAGACCCTAGAACTCTTGCCTGCATCACAGCACACATAGTGACCCCATAGTTCTCCTTCACTCCATGAGTTCCAGTGCCACAGACAGCAGTAACCCCACTATTGGGAGTCCCTGGTTTGAATCCCTTTGTGCTGCTCACAGGTGCAACTTTGGATCACAACATGCACAGGGGACTAACAACAATGACACCCACAACAACAAAAAATGTACCTGTTGGGACTCTAGGAAGAGAAGTGACAGCAATGTGCTCAAGTCCTTATGTATGCTGCTTTGTGCTAAGTGCTCACTTTTTATGCAGTGCTCTTCTCCACGGTTCCTCTCAATAGAGTTTGCCCTTCTGAGCTCTAAGTAGGCAAGACTGGAGGCCAGAGAAGGATAGCTCCATACTGTGTGCCCTGTCATCTAGGTTATGGTATTAATTTGTGGGGTTTGTATACTGTAGTGGGTGCACTGCGATTGGGTGCTGACTTGCATCATATCCTATACTATGTTATTCCAGTGTGTGTATGATGGTGTTTGGTTTTTTGCAGGCAGATATTATCTTAGAGTTATTTCTCCCCTCATCAAATCCAATGGGATGCAATTCCTTTAGTCAGATCTTTGTGACTGGTCTGCAGGAGTATAGGATGCAGCACAAGTGGGATGCTCCTCTGTGCTTCCCCAGTTCCACCCACAACTCCAACCCATTTTAACTATTCTGCAGGTGCCTCTTTGGCACTGTGGCTGCACTGGCAGGCTCGTCTATCAGTGTATTCCAGATGTTGTTCCAGCATAGCTACCTTGGCAGTGGCCTATCTGATGTTGTGCCACTGTCACAAGGCTTCTGCCGTATTTGATAGCCCCTTCACTCGTATACATCAAGTATAGGCTTGTGACCACAGTGTTCCATGTTGGTTAGATTTTGCTTCTTGGTTCACATGTAAATGGGCTTTCCATCAAGGTGAACATTGCAAAATTCTTCCTGATTTGTCTGCTTGCATTTCTTTAGGCTCTAGATGACGATGTTCCAGAGGAAAAACATCACTATCAGTTTCATCTAAGTGGTATCAGTGATGGAGGAATCATAAATGAGTCTGCCAGCACAGCAAACATCACCATGGCTGCTAGTGACTTCCCCTATGGGAAATTTGCATTCTCCCAGGAACTGCTGCAGACGTCTGAAGAAGAAAAATGGGCAAGTGGGGAGTTCACTTATTGTATTTATTTATTTAACAAAACTTATATATCACTTGGTTTGTAACAAAACCTCTAAACAGCTTGCAAGAAGTAGTAAAATTATTAAAAGAGTTGAAAACAAAAGTAAAAATATTTTAGAAACAGTTAAAATCAGCAAAAAACTAAAACAAGATTCAAGCACGTCTGGGTA